ATGGAAAATGTAGGACCTAGGTTTTGGCCGATCTCGGGGTACCAGGGATACAGGCACACGGAGGAAGTTTCGCACACCCTTTCTCGGTGTGTTAGTCTTCATAAAGGTGACGGTAGTCCGTGCAATAGGTATATACGTCCTTCTATTTGATCAGGTAGAGCAAACACGATATTTTCTCACATGTGGATACGTATTCCACAAATCCTGGCAGTGCGTCAGTTTACGCCACTATTATTTGAGCGATACACGTAAATACAAAAGCTGTGAGTTAGAAAAATTTCTCTCCTACGTATAAATATACATCGAGTAAATATGTAGATGTATGTATATTAAATAGGTGTAGGGTAGAGCGTGTGTACGTGGAGCGTGTGTACGTGGAGCGTGTACGTGGAGCATGTACGTGGAACGTGTACGCAGGTGAATCCATCACCCGCATTCGGACAACGTGGTAGAATTAATTACGATGAAATAATAGAGGAAGCTTAAATGCGCGTACACGTATACAAGGATAAACTCGTTTCGTTCGATTTCGCGTAGGGTATTTACACCACGTCTCTTTTGTGGAAAAACGCGTATCTCTTTTTGCCGAAAAAGACCAAGATACAGTATTTAGAAAGAAAAAAGGATAAAAAGATCCTTAGCGACTTTAAGGAAGTTCTATTCGTTCGGAATATAACACTAAACTTAAAAGATCGTAAAAAAAGGTCGTGCAATTGCGGCCAAATTGATTTTCTCGATGCCTTCTCGTCCAGCCCCCCTCCTCCTTCCTTCTTTTCTTAGCTTCTTTTAGCTTCCTTTAAAATGGCAGGTCCTTTCGTTTATCCGCCATCTTCCCGAGATAAAGAGGGTGACATTCCACCGAGAGCAGTTTTAACCGATAGCTTCTAGAAGGTTCGCCGTCTCTTTTCGATGTAACTACTATCTCTTCCTTTTCGTCATCGTCCTTATTCACCGTAGTAGGACGCCGACGAGAGTAGGATGGTAATTGGATAAGTTAATTAGCTTTTTAAATGAAACTTTGTCGAGCTTTTAGATGCTCCCTTTTTTTCCTCCTCGGCAACCGTACCTCATCGTTGACGTCTTTGTCGTCGTCGTAGTGTGCTCATGGTGGACGTGGCCCGTGTTCCTTTCGAGGAGCCTTAAAGTAAGCGCAAAAGCCAGTAAACGTTCTCTCTCTCCCTCCTTCCCTCCGCATCTTCTGACCCTTAATTGAAGCTATAACAGGTCGGTAGCCTCGAGCGCTCTTAATGCTGCGGGACTGCGTCACTTTAATTGAAAGTGCACGGATTCCTCTGATAGCTGCGGCCGCTTCGAGGTGCTGCGCTGCGGGAGGAGTAAGGTATTTACCTTAAATGTACCTTCAATTGCGTTTCCTCCTAAACGTAGAACAAACACCACGCTTCGCGTGTGTACAATGGAGGAAGGACTACGAGAGAATGAGAATCTTTCAAAGGGAAACAAAACTGTTAGGAAAGTTTCCATTACCGCATGATTTTTTCTTTCATCGTTTCCTACCTAGTTAAAGTTTTATTGTTTTATACGTGACTCTATAAATACTTGCTCGGTATTTCCTTCTCCGTCCTGACGAAACTCGATTCGAAAAAGTCAATCGGAAGATATCGGATTAAGCCGAGTTTAAACAAAGTTTCACACGCGCATTATCGATGGAACTCTCCTTGCGAAAGAAAAAAGAATACTTAACGTAAGAGATTGAAAAAATAATGTAGAAAAAATACGATCTTTCGTTTGATTCTTATGAATCGAAGGAAATTAGAGCGATGAAGATGGAATAGCGATAGGAAACTATTGCCGAGCAACACGTTTAAATGTAATTCAGACGACGATGTCCGTTGTACTCGTAAGTCGAGTTACACTACACGCCGTCCGAAGATTTCGGGCAGTCCAATTACAGCTCTGAGTAATCATCCAAAGTTACGAGTTGCCGTTAACAAGTACCCTACTCTTGGAGTATTAACGCAGTTCCTGTTTCTTAGCCTGGATAATTCCACGAAATCGTGTCGGAAACTTCCCATCCGTAAACGTAGTAGGTAAAGATGGAGTGGGAGAGAAGAGAAATGGAGAAAGACCAGAAATCTAAGACCTCTAGGCAGGGACAATGAACCCATGGTTACGATATCGATTGATTTGTCGTCATTACAAATCTATGTATGTATGTAGTTTCTAAATAAACGTTCATACTGACGCGTTATTTTTTAAAAGGTAGCACGAAAACGTTTACATAAGTAAGTTACGTAAGTTGCGTTTTCTTGTTCATTCTAGCGGAGAAAACCGTGTGTATGTTTATTTAAATACCCTTACTACATCATTCTTCTAAACACAGCTGTTCTTTGCTCATACATACCGCCACACACATCTATGGAAATTCCCGGAATCGGTATAGCTTCAACGAGTCGCGATAGACGTAAAAAAAGTGTCTCGGTACTATGAGCCTATGGATACCACTGACCTACATAAATTCTTGGAAGAGCCACCGGCACAATGACCTACTTCGTTTCTTGGAAAACAGTCGAACCGTCGATGCTAATATCTCCGAAACGGGGTAACAGCTAACGGTATTCCTACGAAATAAACATTTTTCTTGACAAATTTTTTCCTCAAAATAACAAACAAAATAAACGGCTAATTAAATAGGTCAAAAATCGATCAAAGCGAATTGTTGCATAGTCTAAGTTATTACTTCTTTCTCTTGTGGCAAGACTATGACGTAAAAAACAGGTATAACCGTGTATACATTGCATACTATTGACGTGTAATAAATTATAACAGAACCGAGAAGGTCTGGTCTCTGGGGGGGGGGGGCGGATATTAAAATTATAAAATAATATGCGCATATGAATGTTCCTTTCATTCGTCGGTCGAATGTCGAATGAAAGGACAAAAAAAAAAGTAGATATGAAAAGTACGCGTAGTACGAATGAAGGCTTGTGCCGGTTCTCCCTAGCAGAGCACTTTTTCGACAAAGATAAAAAGCTAGAAAAAGCGAGCTAATGAGAATCCCGAAAGAATGACGCAATGGGAGATTAAAAGAGTGAAGTAAAATGCAAGAAGAGATGAAATTATTGACTTTACGTTTTTTCGACAACTCGCTATCATCATCGTATTTTCGTAGCAACGACCAAACGCATATATATATATATATATATATATTCGGGCAAATGATAAAAACAAATATAAAATGAAAATAGACGCGAATTCAAAGTTTGTTTCACGAAGCTACTAAAGAGCGCAAAAAAGTGATTTAACATATATCGGCAAGAAATAGCTGCTAGAAAGAAAGAAAGTAACACTATTATAATACGTTGAAAACAAACGTCGTTAATTCTTTTGTTCCTTCGAGCGTTGAAATAATCGTAGCACCGTTAATCGTGGCTGTTCGCGAGTCTTTCATAACGACGACGCAGCGAACCAACCTATTTCAATGGACAAAGGATTCTGTCGAGTAGTCGACAACGCAGAAAGAGAGGTAGAGAGTACCTTTGCTAGGACACACACGGAAAATGAAAAGGAGAAAGAAGGAAAAGAGAAGTGACGGAAGCCGAGTAATTAATTATCCATCGGATAAGAAAGCGGTACAGTCCGAGGAAACGCCGATATTACTACTTGTCGCAAATAAAGCGTCATCTTATTCTCGCTTTCCTTTTCCTAGATACGCGAATTCTAAGAGAATAAAGACTAACATTGAAAAGTGTCGAAAACTATTTCGTGATTCGAATAAACTTGTTACTCCATAATTCGTATCGTTCGATAGCAACGCGAGAAGCAGGGAACACCGTTAATTAACATTTATCAACACCGTTCGCAACAATAGCTCCTTTTAAATCGTCGGAAACTCGCGAGTCAAGCATTCGTACGATCATAGATAACGAGCCCACCACGAGTAATTTCCAATGAGCTTCATTACAGTTCCCTTCAAAGTTTCCAGACCAATCAGGACTTTATCTTTGCCGTCATCGTTACAACGCCGAGGAAAGAGAGAGGAATATACCGTGGCAATCGATTCTCTTGAGATCGCGAGAACTTAAGCAGCAGGTGTGAGCTTCGGGGTAAACTTTCCTGCGATTAAGACACAGCCAAAGCACGGAATTACCGGTAGATAGCCGAGCTTACTAACGTTTCATCGAGATTTCGATGAAAACGATGAATGCGATTATCGTAGGTGATCGATAATGAAAACAAAATGATTCCCCTGTGCTAATTACGTTTTATCTTCGACAAAGATTCGAACGACGTCATAAGCAACGTATCGCGTGATTTTACCAGTACGTAAATCACGAGACAATTCTCAAATACGCGAATGCAAAGTTAGACGCGTCAAAATAAAACGATCGTACGAATCGGACAGCGCGTGTTTGGATTCTCATAAAGTTTCTAAAGTGTAAGTATGTAAGTAGAAGGTAAATACGCGATGCGATACTTCTTCTTCGGACGTTTTGTTGAAACGAGCAATCGCGTAACAAGATATCAAACCGATCTTGCGATCGCTCTTGCTAATCTTCTGGCGTGGATCTCCGTCCCAAATATTTACCTATGATACACGATACGTGGCTAAACACGAAAGAAACGCTTTCGAGGTGACAAACATAAGAACGCGAAAAGATGCGCGAATCTACATTGGCACGAGTTCTCGATCGATAACTCCCACTTTACGGCAGATTCAACCAAAAGAAAAGAACAAATAAAGATCGAGAACATCTCCGAGGCAGATTACCTTTCTCTCCAACTTCTCGTCCTATTACTTTTCCCATCGTTGATTTCTTCGAGAAACTCAACTTCCGAGTAAATATCTTTAACTTTCCGATCCGTCTTGAGAAACATCGATCTTGAGAAGAAAAATAAAGAAGTCGCGTGCAGAGTGGAAATGTCATTTTTTTTCTTTTTTTTTTTTATCTAAAATCGATCGTCGCGTAACAGTTATTTGGCGAGAAAAAAAAAGGGGGAGCTTCGAACAGCGATAGGATCGGGTGCCAAGCAATATTTACCTGTCGGCCTTGTCATTTCTTTGTTCATCTCGCAAAGGCGCTGCCCTTTGATTAACAAGAGCGGAAGATCCCTCGTTTGGGCCCCGGCTCGAGTCACGCGTTCTCTTCTTTTCTCTTCTTTCACCGATCATATTCTTCGTCGACGCAGCAGGGAAAACGAACGAACGAACGCACGCACGCACGCACGCACGCACGCACGCGATCGTTGATCGTTTTTTCGGAAACTCGATGCGACAAGGTTATTTCGGCACAACACCGCCTCGCGTATATCGATCTCGCGCTCGCAAAACTTATATTTCTTCCTCCCCCACTCTCCCCCTGTTCGAGCACAAAGATTTATTTCCAGCAACAAGATGCGTCCGTTTTTTATCGTCCCAAGGTAAGAGGTGGCATTCACTCGACGCGACAAACCCACGAATGTCCACAAAAGTTTTCTCAAACATAGGACGAATCTCTCGGATGATCGATAGATGGCCAGCCAAACCACTCGAATAAGTAATTCACTTCACACCTTTCACTCTCGTTACTCCGTATTATCCGAAAATATAATATTCGTCGTCGTCGTCGTCGTCATCGCACAGGATTACGAGAGCAACTCGTTCTCCGGGCGTTATTTTGGAAAAAGAAAGTCAAGTTCTCAGCGCGGAATGCTTTCCGATATCGTCCTCCCTTGTAGATCGATCCATAGCGTGCGTAGGGTGGCAGAATTCGATCGAGGCCGCAAACAGAAGATTATCCGTGAGGGTTGCCGTAAGGGTTGCCGTAAGGGTTGCCGAGAGGGGTACCTCTCGAAGGGAAGAACAAGTCGCGAAGGCTCGGCACGCGAGCTTGCCGGCCGACTGAAGCACGGCTCGAGCGTCGACCGAGCTCAAACCCAAAACCCGACTCCCCCCTCCCTCCTTCTCGCTCTCTTTTCCTTGGGGACACGGGGCAGGAGGTACAGAGAGTAGTCTCCGTGAGGGGGAAAGGGAGGAACCATGCGCACCGAGGGATGGAAGCGAAAGGGCGGGAGCACTCGGCGGCGGGTGCACTCGGCGGGTGCACTCGGCGCGTGCGCCAGGTGAATCGCCGGACGAACAGGAACAATCTATATCTACTTTCTACCTGACGACGACTGACGTTCGCGATACTTGCGCGACTCTACTCCTTCTAGTTCCTCCAATCGCTATTTTTTCATTTATTTCTATTCAGTATGCTCTTCGAAGTACCATATTAAAAGTTTATTCCCAATGATGCTAAAAGTCTTAGCTTTATTTCAAAGCTTTCAAACAACGAGCTTTGATTTTCTTCCTAGACCGACCTATGAAAACGACAACCTTCCCGAAGAATCTGTTTCGTATCAATTAATATTTGAAAGGGCACGAAACCCTCATCGAATTTTCACCAATTCTTAACGATTATCGTGAAATCCGTAAGATTTGAAAGCCAAGAAAGCCACTTTGCAGTCTCCCAAGCTCTCATCGAATTGAGAAGTACCGTTGGGAGCTCGAATGCACAGACGTCGTCTCCGATTAATTAACGTCAGTTACGATAAATCAATCGAATCGTTGTTCTCGATGAAGTCAACGATTCTCCGCGGGCAATCCGTGTAGTCTTGATTCTGCTTCCACTCTCTGTTGCCGTCTTTGCTATGTGCCTTTTAACCCCTTCCTTCCTTCCTTCCTTCCTTCCTTCCTTCCTTCCTTCCTTCCTTCCTTCCTTCCCACCCACTTTCTTCACTTTCCATCGTTATCCCCATTTCGGTGTAGGGAATCAATCAGCCCCAAAACCACTACCTCCAAGAACTCCAAGAACTTTGGTAACGCGTTTCCCCGCGCTCTCTTCGCATTGCACTGTTACTACTTCTTCCAGTGCTACTACTACCACTACTTGTTTCTACTACCACTATTATAAGAAAAAAAGAAAGATAAAAAGGTCAGTATCGTAGCGAAGAAACGCACGATCCTTCCCAACTTCTGTTATCGCTTTCGCAACGATAATCGAGTACGCTCCGCGAGTCTTCAAATGGGAAACTCGATCTATCCGTTCCTTTACTTCTACTTTTACTTCTTGAATTTCTTTTCCATATTAGGAACTAAAATCGAATCCTTTTCTATCGCGATTGGCAAGACGTATATTTTCGAATATGCGCAATTCGGTTTTCAAAGTTTACCCGTTAAGAGATTCTTTCGCGATGATTTTGGTCGACCGAGATATTTCTGGAAATAATGGAGAGGTCTGCTAGAGCGAACCATCGGTTGAGGCCACTTAATGAGTACGGACAATAACGATAATCAAGATAACGCAGGGGTAGCGGCGACCCACGAGAGATCCGTTTAGTCTCGATCAAATTGCCACTATTATCAGTTATCCAATTATTATAGCAAATTGTTCGTGTTTGCCGTTAACCAAGTTACACCGTGGGGAAGCTACGAGTTTCTTCTCCCCCTTTAGATTTCTCCTTCTCGTACAAACTCGTTCGTCCTCATTCGTTTACGTTTCTCTTACGTTCTCGTTCCAACTCGCGCCCTTAGTATCCGCGACCAGGTGCACCATCATTCGCGTAAGCACGCAGTAAATTCCAACTCGGAGAACTTTGCACACACATGAATGCGCGAACGCGCAGCACCAAGACGCGCAGCACCAAGACGCGCAGCACCGTTACGTAGGAATGCGACGTCGAAACGTGCTGCTGCTTCCATCCGAATAGCACCAGCTTCCGCAAAACGGCACAACTATACCAAGGGAGAGAGAGAGAGAGAGAGAGAGAGAGATAGAAAGAAACAAAGAGAAGGAACCTCGACAATCGACGTTACGTACGGCATGCATCTTCGTTTCTACCGGGTACGATCATAATACGCTAAGACTGAATTATAGGTATTGGCAATAGCTTGCCAGCACAAGCCGTAGAAATATTCTCTTAAGCGTCTCTACCTTCCTAGTTCCGTCCTTTTCTTTCTCTTTAGCTTTACCCAAGGATGAGCCTTACGAACAAAGTACTACTATCTATGCTTTATGATCATTTTTTTCCTTCTCTTTCATTTCCATTCGGTTTGTTCGTTTCTTCCTTACTTTGGAAAGACTCTTGTCTCTTGCTTCGTTTAATCAAACAATAAGCAGTCGGAAAGAATGAAGACGATAAAAATGAATTTTCTTGTAGCAGTAGAAAGAGAATGACGGAAATGAAATAATAGGGAAAAGAAAAGAAAAAAAGAAAGGAAAAGAAAAGAGAAAAAGAAAGGCAGAACGTTAGCCGAATTATGCAGGCTGCGATCGTTTATACGTTTTTATATCCTACTCGTGACTGAGTGAGTGGCCGGCATACGGCCTTGAATAACGATCCCTCGCCGTCGTAATAATAAATATCTATGTATGGATCTCTCCCTTATCTCTTTGACCGTACGTTAAAGCAACCCTTTCCATAGGTAGACTCCCCTCCGTGTCTCATTTCCCGCTACAGCGCTCGAGTAACGCGTATCGCGCCGTGTCGTTTTTCAAACTGTCCGCTGGGCACGCGCGACCCCTTCTTCTTCCTCTCGGGGCGAATACTCTCTCCGAAATTCCGCAGGAAAGAACTTTCGATCGAGAGAGTGACCTCGATATTGCGATACGCCATGCAGCACGACGACTCATTGAGAGAAGAAACCAAGTCCAAATCTATCGATCGGCGAACGGAATAAAAGGGAAAAATCAAATAAAAAACTAGAGAATAGGGTAAAAGGAAAATAGGTTGGAAACTATGTTTGTCTGGTTCGGGCTCGAATTCGGTCTTATATAGACGCTACTATGCCGGTTGGAAGTCTCGTTGAGACATCCTAGAAGGGGTTACAAGTAGAGACGGTGGTTTCGTTCGCCGAGTGTTTCCGAATCTCAGGGAGGTTAATAGTCGAACGTGCCTGGAGGGATTCTCGGTAGAAGCATCGCTACCGCTGTTGCGGGTCCATTTCTCCGTTTCCATTATTGTTCCTTTCGAAAGGGTCGAATCTCGGCCGCGAACTCTTCCCCTTTCCATCGCGCGCTCGCTTCCGTCATAATCAGTCGATACTTCGAAGATAAGGATTTTCCTTGCTAGGAGAAAGATTTGACTTGACACACGTGAACAAATATCCATGAGAGAAATTTATTCGCGCGATGACAAAGGAGGACCGCCGTGTCGCGTAACGCGGCCACGAGAGCACCGCGATCCGTTTATCTAAAGAGAATTTATCTTAAGTACCTTCCGCATGAACGCGCATTCGGCACAACGATGCACGAATAGCCAAGGCTCGATTGTGGTCTCCGCATAAGATGTTCGAACGTATAGAGGCTTGGCTGTATAGAGATTGTACGTCTCGTCTCTAAAGCTTGCGCGCCGCCAAATTTCATCGGCCTCGCTGCCTCGAGTGGAATGAAGATAACTTTCTATTCAAACAAAACCAAGACGCGACCGCCCTTCTTCCAACGAAACCTGTCTCGTCATCCACCTCGAAGGATCGCCGCCGATCGCGCACCAAAGAAACCTCTCTCCCGAGTCGAACGTCAGCCTCGATCGATATGTTTCCCTTAGAGGAAACAGGCTTTTCCCCACTCACTTTCTCAACCTCGGCATGAACGTGAAAATGCGAGAACGTTCGCGTATGCGACTTATTTATTTTACGATTATAAAACTCTTCCACTCACTCTCATTATTTGTTTTTTTTTTTTCTCAACTAATAGGCGGGACTCGGATCAATGCTGTTTTCAATTTCATGCTTGATCGTTGCATTTTCCTACCTTATTGTCTTCTGCTCCTTTTAATTTCAAGCGAAGCAACGCACCCGTTTCGTCCTTTCTTTCTTTTATGCAACGAAAACGAGAAAAGGTGCCGAGGCGTGGTAACAATGCAATTTTGTGGCCGTAACGTTCCGAGAACACGACAAGATTGTCTTTTGCTCGGTGCTTAAGGATTTATATGCTTGCGTCTATGCAGAGCACGCGCGAAAAAGGAACGCTTTAAGCGGGGATAATTTACACCAAATTCAACGGATTTTGCATAGACATCGATACCGGCTCGCTGAGTACTCAATGTGTAAAATTGCATTTGAAAGAACGAGATCCCGAGTTAAGTTTACGCGTTCAACGACTAAGGATACTTGATAGGTGCTTGATAGGTATCTACTTTATATATTTAAAAAGGAGAGAGATAGACGGAGAGAACATTATACACGCTCCTCCATGCTCCTCCACAATACGAGGTCACGACGTTGCTGGATATTGCGATACCACGGAATTTCAAGATGGCCGTTTCTCGGAGACACGAGGATGCCGAGAGCAAAAGGAATTCAATTTCGTGCTCCGCGTCTTTTGTGCGAAAGGTTATACAGGTATTTATATGTAATATCGACTATCGCTCGCGCATCGATATTTTTACCTCGGGGGGAGGAAAAGAAGAAGCAGCAACAGCGAAAGAAAAAGACAACGCGAAAGAATATCCAAAGTCCTTCCCGACACTTTTACCCTCGCTTGTTACGTCTCGTTTTTTAAGCGTCACCCTAAATCGATTCGATGACGTGGGGGAGGGGGGGGGGGGTTACGCCAGTCATCGTCCGACGTGCTTTCGATCAAACTTTTTGGAAATATACTTCGAAGCTGGAATGCGTTCTAAATGGAAACGATAACGACGTTGACGAAGAATCATTGTTTTCCTAGTCTCGAGTATCCTCCAAGTAAATGAATTTCTCTCTCTTTTTCTCTCTGTTTTGCCAGCTAGGAATCCTAGTTCAATCAATATTTAAACGATTAATTACAAGTTTGTTCGGGAAGACTGAAAGAACACTCTTGAGAATGATCCTGACACGTTCGAAAGAGAAAAGGCAAGGGTTTGAAAAGAACTTTCGATAAAACTAGTTCGCGTTTTCCGT